ACCACCACCACCACCACCATTTATATTGTTGCCACATCGCCAGTCCACTAGTCACAGACGCATGTAGACATTACTGCTGCTGCATATTTGCATCAGGCATCAGTCAGGTGGGGCTCTTTCGAATCCATCAAACTGAGACACAGACCAAGCCACATCATAGAGTGCGCCAATTCCATAATAATCAAGACTCGCTCCGGCAGCAGGCGTGGGATCCATTTCGTCGTTATTGCTATGGAAGCCGCAACGTCCCATGTAGGAAAATGTACGGCCTATCGAATTGGGAAGCATGTCTTTGATGCACTCTGTCACATAAACCGGTGATCAGGTCGCAAATGGCACACGCAAACTGACTGTCCAGCTGTCTCAGCCGCTGTGCTCATCTAAATCAACAGCTAGTTCACAGTATCGGACAGCCGATTAGTACGAACGAGAGAGAAATGTATGTGAGTCCAACATCGAGGTATCCATCCACATGACACTTCATCGCTTCCCTTATTATAATAAGTCTGACACGCTAGAAATTGTCATTAAAAGCTACGAACTGACTGGATAAATCAACACCGGAGTGGTCCTTGATTCATGCGCATGCGGGGTAACTGTGTGGTGGACAAAGAGAAAGCCTCCATGGCTCCTTTTCAATGTGGCGTCTAAGATGCTGTCGCATATGTCAGGTCCGAACCGATTACTGCATTGGAGAGCATACAACTCTGATGCAGGTTGGAAGCTTGATTTTTATGATACCGGTGCATTATTTAGTGCCCAGGTCGTCTCCTCACAGTCGCCGGCGGCTGCGATAGTGCGTCCTACGGCATCCTATCTTGTGCTGGTTGTCTTGACCAGGAAGGGTGATTCTGCAAACTCTTTGGAGTGGGGGGGGGGTGAGTATCGGCCGACCAAACACTAGTTCTGATGGAAGGCGAAGCCTGTGCCGAGATGACACCAATCGCCATACTTGGATGGCCGATTTTGCTAGTGAACCGCCTCGCTGGACGTCTCCTACCCTGGGAATCGCATTTTCTCCATTTTTGTGTTATGCTCAAAATCGAATCGCTTCGTTGGGGAAAGCGGGCTGTAGCAGCCGCTCCAGCCCCCCTTTTCTCCGGCTCCGTTTTGCCGGTCGATGACCGCGATAAGCACTGACAGGCCGCTGACGCACGACCACCCCCGCCGGCTAGAACTGGGACACCTCCGGTCCAGCTGCAGTGAACCCCGGCTGCACTCAAAAACTAGTATCGCCTAACGCGCGTCGAACGCTTTGGCTTGATTCCCGTGAGGCCTTGTGAGTATGCGCCCTCCATACGTCCCCTAATTAGTCCAATCACACGACCACCACGCAGACAATCACCCCCTCCTGCTAACTTAGACACACACACTCGCGTTAACAAGACACACCGCGACTGACGCTCTCCGTGAACGGACGCTTTTCTCTGTTGCAAGCAAACCGCCAACTTACGGCAACCTGCCCTGTGTACAGAATAAACTAGTCCTCACAGCTCCCTATAATCTGACAGTAGACGAAACGAACTTATTGTGCGTGGTTTAAGTTGATCTCACATCCTTGACCGCCACAGGGCCTTTGACAATCTTTTGTTTGTGCGTGGTTCGATTTTTCCCACAGAAATATAAACAACTGCCTCCTGTCATTGCGGACCCATCAAAATGATTTGTGTTTTAACATTGTCGAAGCATAACAGTGATGCCCATCCAAGAAAGCACGCCTCCAAGTAACTAATTACTTGCTAACCGCACGAAACACGAAACCGCTTGCATTGCCCTACTGAAGAGGCGGTGACCACTTCCATGGAGAAGGCCCTCAGACATAGCCTCACTAAAACCGACCAATAGATGGGCTGACCAATCAGCAAATGTCTGGACATCCCAAACCACGTAGGCCATAGAAGCAAAGCGAAATTTTGCAAAAAAATAGCACCTCGTAATTGCACATAGAGAAAAAAACGACCCCTTAACGCTGATCCTGTTGTCTACAGTCGACGCTGATCAGGTACCCCCACTAATTCCTTTGAATTAAGATTGCTTATTGCACTTATTCTACGAACTTAAAAGGACTTCGTCGACCATTAGTAACTTCGTTAGTCAAGTAAAAATTTATAACAACCATATAGGTGAATGAAATGCGAAATGGTTTTAGGAAACCAAACACGGACGACAGAATAATTATTCTGTCATTGGAAAACTAGTTGCCAACCTGGGTCGTTGGCGGAGAATACAACTGCCCATTAACGACCAGCGATCGCTC